TGTTTGATCTTCTTTCCTGCTGAGAAACACTAGCTGGAGGAGTTCAGAACATCAAACAAAGAACCAATAAATGACGTCACTCTATCTTCCATCTTTTTTGACTCTCTTATGCAGGGCTTTTACACTTCATGGTGCTTCTCTGAGTGTGAGGGGTGGCATGCGGAGAGAAAAATCTCCCAGAGCCCTTTGCAGCGTGACTTCCCAGCAGATAAGGAAGATAAAAAAAACAACTTTGAAGTTTTTTTTTCGGTTCTTAAGAGGGCAGAGGGGGGAGGAGGAGGAGGAGGAGGAGGAGGAGGAGAGGTGGGCCTGGGTGCAAAACAGGAAGGGACACTGCAGGTAGAAACGATGAAGAGACAAACACATAGGTAGAGAAAGAAAGAGAGAGAGAGATACAGGTATGATTGGTTAACGAGCTGAAGCATTTCTTTGAAACCTAATCCTAATCTACATATCGGCTGTTTGTTTACATAATGACACCCTGGTTTTCAACTGTTCATCCATTTGAAAGAAACCCATGATAAGAAAGAGACTTTTTCAGGGGCACACACAGTGATGAGGGCACATACATGTTCCTTCAAACGTCTATTCAGACACACATCGGTTCATACACGGACGCACCAATGCAGTAAATGGAAACCACCCAGCTGCTCTTTGTACAGAGTCGCTGTCACAGCAGGTCCAGGTCCCCAACCGTTGCTGTGTGTGTTTATGTGTGTGCGTATGGCCGCTCTGGTGAATATTTAAAGAGTGTGTGGAGCACTTTGCCTGAGGAGGAGCAGAGTGGATGTGTTCTGTCATCAAAGAGAAAAAGACTGGTTTCCTCCCTTTTTTTTTATTCTTCTCTCTCCTGCCTCTTCGCTGCATGGTGACAGCAGAGTCATGAAGAGAAAAGCATGTTAATGTGAAAACAGCACACACACACACACACACACACACACACACACACACACACACACACACACACACACACACACACACACACACACACACACACACACACACACACACACACACACACACACACACACACACACACACACACACAGGAAATATTTGGTTGCTGCCAAAGCCGATGAGACAGTCGATGAGGCGATGGGCTGAATGTGTCATCGTTCACATGCTTGGGCATGTGGGTGACGGTGTTGTGATTGTGTTCTTGTGACCGAGATATGATTAGTTGCCCTCTCAACTTATCCTTGCATTCATCATAGAGAAAAATGACTTCTCCCGCAGGAATGACGAGGAGCTGTGATTTATTGATTAGTCTACCAATAAGCCTGTCAGTCAATAAGTAGTTCTGTCAATCAGTCAGGGAGTGTTGTGTCCAGTGGCTGGGCTAGATGGTCTCCATCCTGCCCTTGCCATGGCGCTATGTGAGGCACGATGCGCTTCCTCAATTCGGAGAACTGCAATTCCCATAAGCCCCATTAAATATTCACAGGCATCAGAAAGAAAGAGAGAAGGGGGAGACAGTACAGACACAGAAGCATGATAAAATGAAATTTAAAAAAAGAGAGTGAGCAGGGAAAGGAGAAGGTAGGGCTGGAGAGATGAGAGTAGAGGAGAAAGACGTGGCAAGATGAAGGAAGGAAATACAGATGAGGGAGTGGACAGAGGGAGATGGAGAGAAAGATGATGAGAAAGGGAGTTACAACAGTTAGAGAGGGGGAAGCTAAAGGAGGAAACAGAAAGAGAGGAGAACAGAGAGGGAGAAAAGTGGAGAGAGAATGTGTTTAATTATTCAGCATTACCCATGTTCTCTATTTATGGCCCTTTTAAAGAAGCCAGTGGAAGCTATATATATATACACACACATACTGTAGGCACAGGCTGTTCCCTTAAGTACAGCTCACCAGGGAAGTTTCAACCCAAAAAACAGGGGAAACACAAAGAAAAATGTGATAAGATATTGATAAGAGAAATGCACGGAAGCAAATTATGTAGAAGGGAAAGGGGATGAATAGACAGAGGAGGAAAAACAAGGAAACAGAACCACCATGGAGATGTAAGATCAGAAAGGGAGAAAGAGAGAGAAGGCAAGCTAAAATTAACTTTTTCGCTGCAGCTACTCGTCTATCACCACTCTTGGCCAATTTACTTTAGCTGACAGGGAAACTGCAACAAAAAACAACAACCTGGAACAACTTTTCAAGACATTTTTTAATTGAGTTGAGATTTTGGGTGTACGTGAGAGGGAAAAGGAGAGAGAGAGAGAGAGGGAGGAAAGAGCACTGGAGCAGATCTGTATCATTTAACTAGATGGGGTAATGGAATTTTTGATAAACCTGTTATCTCTTACTCCCAGACACACAGAACTGCAGCTACGTGGCACATTACTGGCCCTCTATCACCAATAACATAAAACACTGTGCTGGCCATTACCATCAAACATATATACACACACACAAAAGGATGCATGCATTGGTACACATAAACCTACATATATATACACACATATATATATATATATAAATATATACACACACACATATATATATATATATATATACACACACACACACATATACATACATATATATATATATATATATATATATATATATATATATATATATATATATATATATATATATATATATATATATATATATATATATATATATATATATATATATATATATATATATATATATATATATATATATACACATATACACACACACACACATACACATATACATATATATATATATATATAAATATAAATATAAATATACACACACACACACACACATACATATATATATATATATATATATATATATATATATATATATATATATATATATATATATATATATAAATACCACATTATCTGACTTGAGAAAAGGTAACAAATAACTCATGTACTTCATACTTCTGTCAAATAAAATTTGTGCTTAGGAAATGTACCTTTAGCTTTTATCTGATGCTTTTTAAAAATTCAATAAGCCCAAAGGTAGCCTAAATTTCCACAGAAATAAATCATTCAGTTTCAGTGAAACGTAAAACAGTAATTTTGCAATTAGTATGATTTTATCTCATAACATTGATGTGTTATATTATCTATATTATCTAAATACATTTCACAACGAAATTCAACAAAGAACACACTAAAATATTGGGGAGAGGAATTGTCTAGTGATTCTCAATTTTCTTTTAACTACTGCAGCCAACACTGGTGTAAAAGAAAATATCAAAGCACAAGTTGTTACCTTTCAGTCTATGATCACAGCTCAACCAGAGGAACACTGGCCCCTGGCTCCTGAGAAAACTAAATTTATTTTTGGAATCAAAACGAGGAGTAAAATCATGTTTACTGCTTGCCTGACTCTAATCTTTACATCTGAGCAAAAATTCCACTTCTGTTTGTTCCACAGCACACTGACAAGTATTCATTGATCCAGACTGGGGATACTGCAGTCCAAAGCTATAGAAAGCATAGTATTCTTATGTGTTATTTTTCTAAGCGTCTAAAAACTGTTCAGAGAGAGCCAGAGCAATTCCAGTTCACCAATACCCACCAGGCTGAAGGTCAATTTATCATCTCAGTGACTCAGAGATTCACCTGCTGACAAAAAGTTGATCCTCTTCAGGCGGCTTGCCTAGGCGAGGGACCTCAACCGCATGAGGAATTTAGAATAGATGGCATTTTTGCTCAAGTGACTCTGCTCCTTATCTGTGCATAGAAATCCAATCTTTTCCAGTTTACACCTTTATCTACTCCTACAGCACTGACAGGGCAATATTTGAAATAAAGCTTTGTAGGACAAACTTTTATTATATTTAATAATAATAATAATAATAATAATAATAATCTTTAGCACCTATAAAGAGCACTTTAAGAATGAAGAGTTGTGCACAAACAGGCGCTCACAAAAAATCTATTGCGCACATTCAAAACTTCATAGGTGTAAGCAAGAAAATAACAGTAGAAATGTTTTCTATTTTCATTTTTGGACAGCAGTAATAGAATAAACTTCAGTATAGACTCCATAGAGTTTTATACAGTGTGACACCCACTGGATCAGCTGTATGGGCTACAGACCCAACAGGCCGGTGCAGTTGCCATAGGCATTCTCTGGCTCGGTAATGTATAGGAAAAGACTGGCTGAATGTCAGCCAGTAAATGAGCCGTGACTTTCACCAAGACAGCAGAGTCAGCAATAAATGGATACACATAACTCTCCTGCTCTCCGTTTCTTTTGAGTTTTTTGCACACACACCCCCCCCCCCCCCCCCCCCCCCCCCACCACCACACACACACACACACACAAACAAATTATTTCTAGAAGCATAGCAGACCTCTGCCTGACCTTTCATCTGGACCAATAAGCCCCTCTCCATCACACACACGCACAAAATAAATGCTTGCACTGACAGGGGCCTTCAGGTGCCCATACATTTTGGAACAAACATATGTTTACTCCATTTAGAGGTGATTAAACAAAATGTCACAGGCTGGTGCCACATCCTGCAGGTGGCAAGTTGAAGCAGCAGAATCATGAAAAGGACCAGAGAACAGCGAGCCATCATGGAGGGAAGAGGAAGTTCAGACAGTGACATGGACTGAGAGATAGTGTTTAAACGACAGCGGGAAGTCCAGCTGACAGCAAAAACCTTAGACCAACGGAGAGCAAGAACTTCCTGTGTCCTAGAGAAACACTTCCTCTTGAAGTATAGAAAGATATGCATATACAGCGGAGAAGAAGAAAGGAAAATAAAGAAAAAGGAGTAAGAGAAATTCTCCTAAAAGCACTTTAATGTGCCCCAGATTCTGCTTCTGCTCTGCATTTATTCTCTTACATTCGCTCCATTTCTCTCAAGCTTGTGCGCTGCTTTTATCCCCTGTCCTCTCTGTTTCCTTCAGTCACAGTGCACATTTATATTCTTTACTCCATATAGGCTATTTGGAGGGAATAAACAAAAGCTGATAAGATAGCAGAGTGTGCTATCAGAAATATAGAATAATGTGTATCAAAGTCTGCATATCTCACCTTGTACACCTGCCCATAGGTGCCATTTCCCACCAGCTCAACCAGCTCAAAGATGCCAGCAGGATCCTGAAAAGACAAAGGAAACACAGTGGGATTATTAGGATGAAAAGGAGTGATAGAAGTGTTAATTCATACATTCAACTTAAGATAATGTTTTAAAATAGTTTTCAGCTTGTTTCAGTGCAACAATTCTTATGTTGAATCCCATTAAGACAGTAATCATGTGTGACAAATGAGACGTCAATTTTCTCAGCCCCGTTTGTGAAGGTAGGTAAGTTGGTCATTTGGTCCAACACTTTGGTTCAGACTGAAATATCTCAACAACTATTAGACGGATTGTCAGATTTTGTTCAGACATTCATGGTCCTGAGAAGATGAATCTTAATGACTTTGGTGAGCTCCCGATTTTCCTCTAGCACCACCAGGAGGGTGACATTTATGGCGTTGAATGAAACGTCTCGACAACTACTGGAAGACTTATCATCACATTTTGTACAGCCATCCATGTTCCCCTTGGGATGAATTGTTTGTCATTGTTGTCATTTTGGTGACAATTTTCACTTATCACATTTTTCATTTGTCCAATAATTTGGACATTCCGTTGTCATTGTGGACAAGTGTTAACATTTTAGCATTAGCATTTAGCTCAAAGCACCACTGTGTCTATGTAAAGGCTCACAGCTAACCGAGCTGTAGACTCTGTGGATACTTGCATTTTTAACAATGGTGTGAGCTGAGTAAGAAACAGAAGCATGATAAAAGCAGTGCTGATGTCTTGCTCAACCCACTGAGCTCTCTGGGTGTTGATACATTGGTTTGAAATGCAGCACTGTATTGTTTTAGGCTTGCGTCCAGACAAGCTAATAATTTAAGCCCACAGTCGCTGGGTTGCCAACACAGAACTCAGCGCATCTCTGACAAGTGGGGAGCAACTCGAACAGAGTATAAAACCCACTGACCCCCACTCACACACAGACACACACACCTCCCCCTTCCTCTCTGCTGTGTGTTGCTACGGCATTCCAACAATAGCTGGTATTCACCCTCTCTTTCCTCCTTTCTCTCTTTCACACTCTCTCTGCTCAACCCTCTGTTCTCCAACCAGCCAAAGTCCATCTATGTCTCTCTCACCCCTTTATCTACACATTCTCTCTCTCTCTCTCTCTCTCTCTTTCTCTCCAGTCCATGACAGGTCCCTCTTTCCAACGCTTCTCATTCCAACTGACACTCAGAAACACTGAAGCCCTTTTATCAGCTTCTGTTATGTCTCTTCTCTCCTTGTGCAGCCTTCTTGCTATTAAAAAGTTTTGTAAATGTTGTACATACCATCATACATTTTGTGTCAGTCTTAACTGTGTTCAACTTTGTACCTCATTCTTTTGCCACAGCTGCCTGTGGAGATGTCACAGCTAGTGTTGGGTTCTCATTTACTCAAGAATTCAATATTCACAGTGTCTATTAATGTGTATTATCAGCACTCCTACACTAATACTGACACTGATATCTAATAATGCCATCAAGTCTGATGTTTTGTAGAGTAGTGTAGTGTGATGTAGCTCTAACTCTTGCAGTTCTCACTATACACTGCTTGTTATGTGGATTACCTTGAACTTGCAGCCAATTCTACTAGGTCAGCTAAAAATATACCAATATCCAAAGTAATTTCTGTCATTTTTCATCCCTTTTTTTCAACAATATCATCTAGGGACAAGCCAAAGAAGATGTTCTTCTACAGGGGGCAAAGCAAGAGACTTATTTCATGGCTGATTCACCAGAATAAACTGCAGTATTGTGTAGATCTGCACTGGGACTCATGCAAAGCTGGAGAACAGACGATATTACACAATACCCACTTTTCACTGACAATTCCCCTCTCAATAAAGCACCTCTTTATTTCCATTGTGAAATGCCACACATGCACTCCATTTCCATCCCTGTCTCTCTTCTCTAACCTTGTCACTTCTCTCTCTTGCGTCTTTCCTTCATGGTCTGTCCTCTTCTTCTTTTTTTTTTTTAAAAATCGGTCTCTTTGTTGCTTTCTCACTTTCTGCACTACTCTTTCATGCCTGTGAATTTTCAGTGGAACTTTCAACTAACTTTGCTGGCATAACACCCAGATCAATGTGTGCAGCCACAGTACATAGAGAAGGAAATGATGCAGGATTATGGCCAAATGAAGATAGAAAACTTTACATCCTTTACTTTACAAGTATGTTTTGGGAGCTTCAGTATTAAATTGTGTGCATGCTCAAGGTGTCTCCGTGCATATACTATAGTTTCTTTGCATAGTTCTTTGGAAAGTGTTACTTTCTCTCTTTCTTCTGTTCTGTCTCAGCTTGCCTCCCTCTCTTTCCCCAATTTCTCTCTCTCTTTCTCTCTTTTCCTTTTCTGTCTCCCTCGCTCTGTCTCTATTTGTTTGTTTCTGCGGGTCTCAGCAGACCTGTCAACCTGTCAGCGGTTTCTGAAGACAGGGCCTTGCGCTTTTGCTCTCTCCTTCCTTTTCCTGTTTTTTTTTTCTTTCTCTGTTGTGTGCAGCAGAGACACACACATGCACTGTCCCTCACATACAAACAGATACACAAAAGCAGACAAACTCACTCTCTCGCAGTCCGTCTCAAGTACATCCTCACGCTGTCTCGCTCTCTCTCACACTCTAACAACCGCACACACACACACACACACACACACACACATACTGTGCCAAAAGCACACTCCTACACAAGAGCTAGTGTTCAAATGTTCTAACGAGTATGAGTGGGCACAAAATGAAGAGTGTGTGTCTAGCTAAACGCGCATGTGTGTGTGTGTGTGCATGCGTGTGTGCGTGTGTGTGTGTGAGAGAGAAAAAGACTGCAAGCCTCTTTCAACAGTGCAGACAGCAACATTCTGCAGGCTCTGTGACTGTTTGCCTTTGCCAACGGGCCTTCAGCTTATGCAGGTAGATTTTTCCTCCCCCTCACTTCCTTTTCTCTCCTCAAGTGTGTGTTTGTGTTTGGCAGCTGTGTGAATTAACTCTCAAAGCTGCATTCAAAGTTCTGACAGCAACTCCCAAGACACATCTAAGGATGCACTCTCTTTCTCCTTTTGTTTTTACACAACAGAAACATTCAAATAACAAAAAACTACACACACACACACACACACACACACACACACACACACACACACACTGTACATGCATATAGGAACCACAAGCGCAGGAAGACACATGATGGTGGCACGCATATTGAGGATCTACTCCATGCACAATATACAGAACGAGTGCTATGGCTAGAGAAACAAGAGCGTTTTTGCTGCTCCATTTCATACATGTCCTTAGGCTTGCTGATAAAAAAATATAGCACGATGTCATTCATATTTTATAGGCCACTTGCCGAATGAGCTCTCAGCGTGCACCAGGCTTTGTCAGTGCAGTGCACGTCTGTGTGCCAGTGTTTTAGAGTTCCAATGACTGGAGCAATTTTGCCCCCATACCTATTTCTCACTTTGTGTTCCTTTTGAGTGTTTGCCAGAGTCACATGACTGCCACATGACTTCACTGGTGGCCAGTGACTCACGGTGTGTGTGTGTGTGTATGTGTGTGTGTGAGTGTGTGTGACTGCGAGAAGCTGCTGAGTAACAGTACCACATTAAATATAACTTGTACACAAAAGTGCTGAGAGAAGTAAAAAAAAATAAGGTTCAACCATTTGAGATATGATGTAAAGACACACATGCTTTCTCCAAAATGTCATTTTTTGAGAAGAAGTTTACTTAAACCCTGATGACAGTGCAGCTTTTCTTACTTATTCCAGCGTTTTTATATTATCTCATAGCAGACCAGACATCTGAGAATTTTCCAAACTGACAAGCGAGCGTGACTTCCTTCAATTTCTGTGAGAACATTTCTACAGAAAAGTTTAGCTTTCACACAACAGTAATGATGTGTTTATCAAAAGTGTCTTTACGATAGGCCACAGTTGGCATGACCCCACTCTGCTTATCTTCTAGTCAGAGGAAAAGCAATGGCATCTTGCTACCATTATTGCAACACAATCTCCATCTTAATTTTTTATACACACCTGGTAAAAGCACTACAACAGAGCTTTTCGACTGACATCTTCGTACACCCACATATAAAAAAAAAATCACTTTTGGTCCAAATCATTTTGCCTCCCATTTATTTTGCTTATTCCTTTTCCATATCTATAAACGATCTTTTATACCTTGTGCAATCAATTTAATGGATAAATTGCACTAATTGGTACTTTTCAGTACAGAAAGTTTATTGTACACGGTGTGTATAGGATAAACTGCAATGATTTGATGTGATGGGCGGAGAGATGTACGGCACCCATGTGATACGATATTGGTATGTTTATATATGTTCATGTTTGTATAGTGATGTTTTTATAGGTCTGGTGAGACCAAAGACAATTTTCTAGCCTTGGCTGGACAATAAAGTGGTATTCTATTCTACTCTATTCTATTTCCTCTTCACATGGAATGCCTTTGTGCAAAAGTAGAATCAAGTAGGATTAATTTTGGGCACAAGGCCACTGAGATAGATGTAGCACTGGATCCAGTTATTTCTTTGAACAGGGGATGTTGGTCCATAGACATCATAAACCATTAGAAATAATGGGTTTTAGAGTGCAGGGCTGGAGTTCTTGTGAAAGCTACTGTACAACATGTGTGAGGACTTTAACTGACTGCATTTATTATTTCATTCCTCAACATAACCTTAATCCTCTGCGCTACATTCCTCACCTTAACTCTTACCTAACCAAAAGCTCTAGTTCTAACCTAAACTATAATGTTCAGGGTCAATTTGACTTGATTAAAGGTGGGATAAGAGATTCTAATCCAACACTTATTTTTGTCAAATTCAGTTCATATCTCCTCAGGGTCTGCTAGCTGTTCTGTATGTGCGCTGAACATATATCCGGTGTTAAGAGCTGTTGTGCTGCCTCTTATACTTTCTTGTCCTCTCTGCATGTTAGCTTCGCAGCTGCAACTATAGTGACAGTTTGCTAACCCACAATTTACTTGCTGTGCCATTGTATCATTCATATCATTGTATTTGT